GGAAGTGGGAGGGGTAGGGGAAAGGAAAGAAGGGAATGGAATTAATATGAGAAAATGAAAAAATGGAGACAAAGTCTTTGTAAATAGGGAGGGATGGAGAGGTTGAAGGGAGGACAGGGGGATGCAGAAAAAATAAGAACCATGAAAGATTATGTAAAGGTGCAAATTTCCAATGATGAATGTCATTATATTGTATACCTAAAATGTACCAATAAAATTAATTTTTAAAAAATGCTTTTTAATGACTTGTGAGATAACTGCTAACCCATTTTCATCCTTGCTACAAGGTAGATATATTGTACACACTATCTAATGTTTTCAACAACCTCATCGACTAGAGTATAATATATATCCATGAGTTCAGCATTCACACTGCAGATTCAACCATCTCTGATCAAAAGTACCACACACACACACACATAAAAACTGTACAGCTGTGTGGGGTGGCACACACCTGTAATCCTAGTACTTGGGAGGCTGAGGAAGGAAGATCATGAGTTGAGCTCACCCTGGGCTACACAGTGAGTTCTAGGTCAGCCTGAACTATACAGTGACCCCCCCCCCCAAATCAGAAAAGTATTTTCTGTTGGTATTGAACACTGTAGATTATTTTTCTTTTCTTTTTTTTTTTTTTTGGTATTGGAGATCCAACTCGGGACCTTGAATTTGTGAGGCAAGCGGTGGCACTACTGAGCCAAATCTCTGGCCCCTATTTTTCTTATTTGTACTAGCTAAACAATATAATTTATTTATTTCTCTTTTGGGGGTACCGGGAATCGAACTCAGGACCTTGTGATTACCAGGCAGGTGCAGTGCCACTGAGCTAAATCTCTGGCCCTAATACAATTTATACATACTAGTTATTGTAAGGAATATAGATTATTTATAATATACAAGTAAATGCACATAGGTTTTATCCAAATACTATACCAATGCCCCATTTTATATAAGGGACTTGAGCATCCATGAATTTTTGTATTTAAAAAGGGCCCTGAAACCAATCCCGAAGGGTACTCAGGGATGAGCCTATGAAAAAACTGAGGTTGCAGAGCTGAGAAATGTCAATCACAGTGATAGTAAATGCAGAGCAAGGACTTTAATCTCCTTCACACTGACAGCAAAGTCTATAGGTATTTTCCATTATGCTACTGTACCAGGGATCAGCATATTTTTTCTGCAATGGTCATGATGCTAAGTCTTTTCAGCTTTGCAAGACATGAGTCTCTTGCAACTAAACTCAGCTGTACATGCGTCAGCAAAATTTTATTACCAAAACAAGACTGCGGTGTGGATTTGCTCCTTGGGCTGCAGTCTGTGGCCACATTCTTTATTATTTGTTACTGCCTTAAAAGGACTTGCATCAGCTCACCACGACAGATTTGCAATAACTCACAAGCTCTTTAGACACACAATTAATTCATATCCTCCTCCATGCAAGGCAGCTTTAATTCAGAGAGTCTTTCTCAGATAACTGGCTAGGGAAGATTTCCCTCTAGAAACCCTGATACCTTACTATGAAAATGCTAAATTAAAAATGGATCAAACGGCTGGGTATAGTGGTGCACACCTATAATCCCAGTATTCTGGAGGCCGAGCCAGGAGGATTAATGTGAGTTCAAGGATAGCCTGAGGTACATAGTGAGACCCTATCTCAAAAGCAAAAAAAGATAGGGCCCGGGATTTAGCTTAGTGGCACCGCGCCTGCCTGGAAAGCGCAAGGTCCTGCATTCTATCCCCGGTACCAAAAAAAAGAAAGAAAGAAAGAAAGAAAGAAAGAAAGAAAGAAAGAAAGAAAGAAAGAAAGAAAGAAAGAAAGAA